CTCTCGCCGTCGAACCAGCCCGCCGCTTCGGCAGCGGGCGTCTTGTCGCCGACGTCTGCCTTCTCCCAGAGCTTTTGAAGGCGGCGTAGTCGTGTTGAGGGCGTAGCTCTCATACGGCCGCAATTAGAGGGAGTCGTTTCCTTGTCGGCGCGCACGCCCCTGCAGGATGTCGTGGATGGGGTCCTCGGGCGGCGGCAGGTCGGGCTCGGCGCCGTCGTCGTCAGGGTGGGCGTCCTGGGCGGAGGTGTCGGCGGCGGCGGCGGCGCGGCGGTCGCGGAGGCGCTGGGCGCGCGTCGGGAAGGACTGGATGTGGTCGGCCGTCGCGGCGATGGCGTCCTTGTCGTCTTGGGCCGCGGCCTTGCGGTCGACGAGGTCGCGCACGGCGGCTTCCGACTCGGCCGTCAGCGCGGCGACCTCGGCTTGGAACTCGGCGATCCAGGCCTCGAGACGGAGGTCGGCGGGCGTCTTTTCTGCGCCGCGGGCGGCCCGTTTGGCGAGTATGGTCTGCAAGTCGCCCTGGCGCTCGGCGAGGCGGTCGTTTGCGGCGGCGACATTGCGGCCCAGCAGGGTCGTGGCTTTGCGGATGTGTTCTTCGTATCTGCGGGAGTCGCGCCCAGCGGCAAGAGCGTTGAGGGAGCGGGCTACGTTGTCGGAGAGAGTGAGTTCGAGGGGTTCGTAGGGCGGCAGGTCGGTTGGGTCTTCGGAGGGTGCCCTGGGCCTGGCGCGGCGTGTGGCGGACATGGCGTTGCGATGAATGACGGGTTCAAGATGTGCTGCAATGTGTCTGTGGTTCGCAGGACCGTGATGAATGGCGTGGTGGCGGTGGTGGTGGTGGGAAAGGCCAGTCAAGAGGAGACGCGGTCGAGACGCGTCTCGGTCAATCGGTGTGGGGGATCATCATGCGGGGCTGCATCATGTGAGGCAGGCTGCCGGGGGAGGGTACCTCTTTCTGGCGATACTTTTGGCCACTGAACAAAGCACCGTTTGGGAGAAGCATGGTTTTGGAGTCGGCATGTCCATCGAAACTAGTCCTTTCCTTGTTAGTAGGTATTCACAAGGCTCTTTTCATTCCCTGCAACCGCTTCTTGGTAGTGTCTAGCTAAGTATATCCAGTGAGTGAAGAACTGATGTACAGCAGAGGACTACAATGACGCTCCTCTCAACATCCAGCGTCTTGAGGAACATGCAGCATTTGATGAACGTACATCATTTGATGCACGTACATCATTTGATGAATAAGCGTAGCCGCAAGCTGACTTTAGTCGCATCGTGATCCATGCCAAGAAGCCTCATGTCTTTCCCTCGTCCTCTGAACATAGCAGCCACCAAAGATTGACTTTGACCGTTGTAAAGTGCCAAGCCATGGGCCGTGTCGTCAGAATGGGCTGATAAACTGAGGAGTCGAGAACTCATCGAGCCTGCAGGAGCCCTTATCAATCCGCTACTCGTCGTCCTGACAATGGTCCAGCAGTTGGTAGGGGAAACGAAACAAAGCGACTCCCGATATGACGAGGCGCAAACCATATCGATCAGCATTGTAGCAAGCGATCGCCCCGAGCACAAGGATTTCAGATCGGGGAGCTGGAAGCTCAGCCGCCTCGGTTCGCTAACCGATCCTACGACTGTGCAGTGGCAGAGACAGAGCTTCCCCTCCCGAACCAAATGAGCGCCTCGTCTCACCTTTTTTAGACCCCACCCCTGACGCATGAATGGATGCAGCAAGCGCAAGAATGCGATAGGAAAGATGCGTCATCTCGATGTCTGGACAGAATGGGAAATGGTGGCAGGGATGAACAAGAGAGACAAGCAAGACAATGTGGCTGACAGGTCGGGGTGACGGCTGCCGCCACCAGTGGTCAGATGCCGATTGGCCTTCACGCACTTAATGTCGCCCCGCACCTCACCCAATTCGGCCAAGCGTCGACAGGCGTCCCCCCCCCCCCCCCCCCCTCCGATGCCGATGGCTAGACCACATCTCAAGATCGATGCAGGCATTTCTCGCACTGACAGTTCGTCGCCCATCGGAGGCGTCTGCCTACCATCGCCCAAGTCCCATCATCATCGTGATGCGGCTTTCGATGTCCGCCACGACTTTTGGCAACATGCAAGAATTATGGTCTGAGACCCCATTCACGCTGCGACATCTGCCAACTCCACCATTCGACTCACGATCCACCATGCACTGCTGTTCGTGGTTGACCGCCGGCGGTTCTGATCCCTCACACCGAACCGACGCCTTGCTTGCTTTGAGAGAGAAAGAGCCCCGCCTCTGGGCCCCTCTTGGCGCCGTTTCTGTTCGACGCTGGCGGCCCTGACAGTCTTGTTGCACCAAGGTGTACGACCGTGTCATGACTACTTCCTCATTGATGAGAACCCTGCCTGGAGCAGGCAGACAGCCTTGAGCAGTCAGCCAGCCTGGAGCAGCAGCAGGCAGCCTGGAGCTGACAGCTCAAGCTGACCATGAGACATGGGAGGACCCAGAGACCTGGCATGACCTTTGATCGCACTCGAACGCACCGATGCACACGAGAACCGTCCGCTGGATGACCACCGGCTCAGTCCCAGCCGGACCCTCGCCAGGCCTCGTTAGCCTCAGGGCCCCCAGCCCACTTTTTGTGTTGGCGTCTACCGTCTTCGATCAAGTCCCGATCGCGACCCCTACCTCTTGGGTCCCGCGATCAGGCCAACGAAATGCCGTGTCATCGCCTTTTATCCCCCGGCTGGGCCCAGCCAGCATCAAATGTCTGCTGGGCCCCCTCATTAATATCCCGGCCTGTCATTACGTCCATGTCAGCGTCAGATCGCATAGTCTCATCAGTTCTCTGTCCATCGAGCCACCCAACAACTATCAATCCCGTGCTCCCACCTCCCATCCCGCTCAACCGTTACCCGCCCCTTCAGAGACTCCTCATCAGTCCATCTCGCTCGCTCGGCAGATTCGCTTCCCGATCAACACGCTGACCAAGAACGACGCGCCCTCTTGTTCAGCAACGCCCCATCCAACCTGCGGCGCATCCGCCACGGTCACCCGTGTCAGTGAAGTGGTGATAAAGTGCGCAAGCAGGCCAAGACGAACCGCGCCGCCCCTCCCGCCAACCCCGGCTCTGTGCACCCAACGACTTACACCTACCCGCACCCTTTCGTCACCTGCATATCAGACACAGCACGCACCCTTGTCGCCCTTGCCTGGCCCGAACGAAGGCCTACGCCTGCAACGCAGAATATATCACCTCAACGTTGCGCTTCATACTCCACGAGTTTTCCAACATGTCCGCCTCCGTCAAAACACAACTTCCAGTCATTCCCCGCAGCCACACACACGCCATCTCGAAGCGGCCCGCCCAGAGGCCGAAAGCTCGCCCTGATCGATTCGCCAACATGAACCCCTGGGAAACATGCGCTCTACAGGTTAGTCTCGAGTGAGAGAGCAATTGCAAGCTTTGCCGTACATGAACGCCAGCGACTAACAAGCCGAAAGTACCATTTCCCCGAGCCAGCCGGCAATGATGACCAAGAACGTACCCTCACGCAGCGCCAGCGTCCCGAAAACGCAGACCCCGTCATGTATCCCGGTCTCTACTGCCCCAGCGGATTTGACATGATGAGCATCCTTGTACGTCTTGGCGCTGCCTACTCCAGTCGTCAACTTGGCTGACAAACCTCACAGTTCCGTGTCATGGGTCGGTCCTCGCCCAAGGTAGAACTCGGCCCTATCGATTGCTCAGTCGCCCTCGTGCTCTGCGACCTCGCCCAGCCCGATTGCCCTATCGTCTACGCATCGGAAGCCTTCACATTCCTTACCGGGTACTCCAATGCCGAGATCCTCGGACGCAACTGCCGTTTCTTGCAAGCACCTGGAGGAAAGGTCAGCCGATCTTCTCCTCGCAAGTACGTCGACGACAGGATGGTCAAGAAGATGCGCAAGGCCGTGGAGAAGAACGACGAGGTCCAGCTCGAGGTCCAAAACTTCCGCAAGGACGGCTCGCCGTTCATGAACATCTTGACGATGATCCCTGTCACCTGGGACAGCGAAGACTATCGATACAGCGTTGGCTTTCAAGTCTCGCGCGACGAGTGAACAGGCGTTCATCTCTGGCCTTCGAAACACCCAACCTTCTGAAAACGATACACTTTTGGAGGGCAACACCTTCTATCATGACGACAACGAACCAACTTCGCCCTCCCTCAACCACTTTTGATGAACATACACACCAGCATCGGACATGATTTTCGACAAAGTAATCTGCTTTTAGGCATCAGCGATACCCAAAAACACAAGCCAGGCGTTTTTTCACTTTACACACGTGTACTTTCCCTCCCATCGGTATCAGACTTACAAGCCTGGCCAGCGATGGGTCAACAAGCATTATTTCGGCGTAGTGATTCATTCTTTGGGTCTTGCATTGGTCACTGGTTCGTGTAGACGATACCCATAGTTCTCATTGGAGGCACGCATTTCCTGTTTATAGGGGATGAAACTTGACATGGTTCTGGAAAGGTGTCTGGAGTAACAGCCACAGGGCTGAGATTTCTGTTGAATATTGAATTTTCGTACACGAGTTTTGAACTGCGATGATCCCGACATGCGTGCACATGATGCCTGATGCTTGGTCTGGGGCACATAAGAAAGTAACGAGCATTGCTGGTAGTTTATCTATCGCTCATCATACCACACTCGCCTAAGCCAAAGAACACAGATAGTTGTGTGCTTGGTGGCATGTGTAACGACCGTCTGGAGGTGCAATCTTACGGACCATCATAACTCTCTTTGTAGTTCCACGTAAATGATATCGTCCAGCCACCTAGCCGCCCCCCCCCCCTCCCTCTCCTCATTTGCTGAATTGGCAGTATTCTTCTGGGGCCTGGGATTGCAAGGTGAAAAGGCGGCAATCCCCAATGGAGATCCGGCTCTGATGTCAGAGAGCTTCGTACCACAAAGGCCAAGCACCAGAGGCAGCCAGGTCCCGCACCTCTGAACCGTCGTTTCTAGTTTCAGCCTGTCACACAGGCCGCCTTCACCATCATTGATCCCCTCACTTGTACCTCGAGTGTTCGTGCTGTGCCTCTCATCTGCCACCCTATCTTTCATCCATCCCACAGACAATCTGTTCCAGGAGATCCGCGTCCGAGGACCTGCGATTATCAAAATGCCTCTCCGCGGCCCCGTCTCCGTAACGGCATACAAGAAGTCCACGGCTGAGATTGTCCAGATCGGACCCATGACGGGCTACATCTACGAGGACGGGTCACACACAGACACGCGCGTCGGGTGCGCGACGCTCGAGATCCCGCCCGGGGTCAAGGGGCCGCCGATGCACTGGCATCGGTTCCACGATGAGCTCTTCTTCATCGTCAAAGGTGAGTGCGTGCGTGCATGTCGACGTGTGACTTTTCAAACACGTGCGATTGCCATTTTCACGTCGTCTCAGGGCAAATGGTGTTCGTAGCGGTGGCTGATGACGTAGGCACGGTGCGTTTCTCCACGCCAGAGGGGGACACTGCCCTCCAGGCTGGAGAACTCATGGTCGTGCCGCCGCGGGCGGTGCACACGTTCTCGAACCCTTCGGCGACGGAGGGGGCCGAGTTTTACATGACTGCCACTCCCGGTGAGATTTCTCCTTTGCGATGACTAATGGGCCTGTGTGTCTGACATGACTAGGGTACTATATTGACTGTGAGTCCTCAAGTAGCGCGAGAAGGTAACCACTAACACTGCAGATTTCCGAATGTTGGGCAAGATTACGGCGGACGAGGCAAAGCTCTCACCGGCGGAGACGGAGCATTTGATGGCACTCTTTGGCACGTTTCCGCCCGAGGTTGAGTCGGAGCCCTAGCTCGATGTTTTGACAGCACAGTCAGGGCAATGCAAAGACAGGGTGACAAAGAGCATCAATTGGTCCATGATGCGTAACTATTCGTGGCAAATGGCGCTGTGTTGTAGTTCAAATCATGTTTGTTTCCGTATACGCCCTGATCTCCTTCGTCCCAGATCATCTTCATTCGTTGATGCCTCGACCCGCGTGGTCTCTTGTTTCACCTTTGGCTTTGACGATGCTAGACCAGCCTTGCTCGGCTCGGCTGTCTTCTTCTGCTTCTTCAGAGGTGGTGTTTCTGTATCACCGTCGACATCTTCCACCTTGACATGGGAAGCCGTTCTTGCCCCGCGCTGCTTCTTCGCTGGAGGCTTTTCATCCTCGTCGCTTGGCTCGACTTCTTTGACGTTCTTCCTACCCTTGAGTTTGGCTGTCGTCGTCTTGGCTGTGGGCTCTGCGTCTATCGGCTCTTCCTTTGCCGAAGGTACCACGCGACCCGTCTTCTGCTGCCTGCTCGGCGCGTAGCAGCTCGTGCGTCCCCCGACCGTGATGAAAGCCAGCTTCTCGCCGTTCGGAAGCTTGCTCACGGCGTCCTTGCCGCCTTTGCCCCATCGGTACTTGAACAGCCAGTCTTCGGGGAACTCATCCGAATCACCAAGCTTGTCCACGGCCGTCTGACACACGTACCGCACCTTTTCGTAGATGGCCCTGATCTCGCGGTCGCTAAAGTCGTCGCAGTACTGCTCAGGGTGCACCTTGGCCTGGTACAGCACCTCGTCGGCCACCCAGTTGCCGATGCCGCTGATGTGCGTCTGGTCCAGCAGCAGGGCTTTGATGGGAACGTGCCGCGACGTCATCTTGGAGCGCATGTACTCTTCTGTGAACATGTCGACGTCGACGACGGGATCGGGGCCGTTCTCCACGAGGGGCGTGTGCTTGCGAATGTCGTCCCCGGGACAGTCGACGAGGCGCACGCGGCCGAAGCGACGGGGGTCGGTGAAGGCGACTTCAACCTTGGGGGTGCCCTCGGTCTCGAGGCGGAATTTCCAGTACTTTGGCGGCCAGTGGTCTGCTTCCTCTGGTTTCATCTTCTTGTAGTAATTTGTGTAGGCTGTCTTGTCACCCTTGATGTGGACCCAGCCTGGGTATTGTGAGTGTTGCACCACAAGAATGGATGGTGTTCACGTACCAGTCATGCCGAGGTGCATTACAGCGTGTGGAGGTTGATCAAAGGTTAACCTGATGAGGTCAGATGAGAGACCGGATAGCAGTTGTGGCCGTGACAAGTATACCAGAAATATTTGCCCTGACTTCCGGCAGATACGACTTTTCTTCCCTGCACGGCCTTTTCGAAGGCTGGCCCACTGGTGCCAACCTTGCCGAAGACTTTGTCATCTTCAAGGGCCGTGACTTTGGCAATGGTTTTGCCGACGAGATGGTGGCGGAGAAAATGCACACACCGCGCGACTGTCCTGTGTCAGTGCGAGCCTCATTGAACACCCGTGATCACGGCGCACCTTCAGCTATCTCGGGCATCTTGAGACTGGTGAACGAGGTGGTGGCATGAGAGACCGCCAGAGGGGAGCTATGGTCACGACGCGCCCTGGGGCTGGGATAATGACGACAGGCAGTGACGAGCCAAACGCGTGGTCACGGGACCACCTCGTCACCGACCTCATGTCTGCAGCACGCTGCGACTGGCCCAAGCTCTATGCTTCCATTCATGGCCCGTGCACCAATGGCCCGGAGATGTTCCAGAGAGCCCCCACCTCAAATTCGAATCGCAGACCTCAAAAAGTTGGGCGCAGAAAATTCCCTTCACTTTCTTCCCATCCTTCCACCACCAACAATAACCACCGCAACAACAGCCTTGCCTGCAATTGTAAGTCTCAGCCTTTCGGCTCGCGCGTCGCTTCACGGAGTGTGCGCATGTCTTCTCCTTTCCATTCATCTGCTATCTGATGATTACCCAAACCCAATTCAAACTAGAGTCTTTGACCAAATGGAATGAAACTACAGTTTTTGCACGTCAGTCTGACATTGCAGCTTAATTTTCTATTACTCAGCATGCGCGGCCAAGACCTGACGCTAACCCGCATCATAGGTGTCTACTTGCATTGCATACGCTATGGCTGTTGTGTGGTTCGCTCGACGGTCGCTGGTTGGGCGAGTGTCTTGACCTGCGACCTCGAGCACTGTTTACAAAGGTTCGTATTCACCCCATTCATTCTTGCTCTCGCCAGCCCCCCCTCGAACAATATGATGAACATTTTTCATACTACGTATGTTGGAATTACCGACTGAGTACACCTTGAAGAAAAAAACGGCTGTTTCTGATCGTTCCTACCATTCTGGCTGGCTTGATATCATGCTTCTGCACATGCAAGTTGCTAACTCACTCAAGCAGTTTCCTAGACAAGGTACATACCGATCACGCTTGCTCCTTTCCACCCAGCACCAATATGATGAAGCGGCACTGGGCTCCGAGAGTACCTAATGGGCTCGACCATGAGCGACACGCCTCTTTGCGGCAGGCCTAGAAAACCTCGCCCACTGATTTCATGTCGATCCGGCAACATTTTTCGTCGAATCAAAGCGAATACGGACTGACCAGCAACAGTGTCAGGTTCTTGAAATTGCTTCCCTTGTGATGTGTTGGGCTCCAATCCGCGTCACACGGTGACTGCTCACTAATGGTAAGCCGACTTTTTTCTTTCTTTCCAAACCCCTCGCTTCCTGATGAACACAGATGACGAGTCCTACACGGTTTTACCGATGCGGACAACCTATTTTAATACCATTCATGCCTTACTGAACTGCGATTGCTCATAAATCTTCTGAAAGCTCGAGAAGAACCTCGCTAACCAGCACTAAAGATCCTCCAGCCAACATGGCCCTTCTTCATGACTTGGTATGTCACACCGTGCATTGCCTCAGCACCTCGCCCCGTTCAAGTGATGAACGCAAAAACACAAGACAAGCATATGTCAGAGCCCGTGACACGGCGTTTGATCGATACCTGTTTACATTTTCCTGATCCCGACCGCTTCAGTCATCAGTCTTCTGCTCCACACATGCGAGAACATGACTGACTCGAGAAGACCTGGTAGACTGGCAAATCTTGACTCTGACATGCAGCAATCTGCGTACTTAGGCATCTTATCAGGTTCGTTACCTCTTTTTCTTTGCTCCTCCCTTCCCGGCCCCTTACATGATGACTCAATTTTTATCACGACGGTCTCCATAGCCTTAGTTGCATTGATGAGACTGCCTTTGACATGGCACCCATACTGAAATCGGCTTTCCTCAACTCTTATTTTCGATCTCGATTACACGGATTCGAAAAACTTGCTGACTGTTCTCAAAGACAGGTCCATTTGGTTGCTTCAACATGGAATATCGCCATGGATAGTTTACTCTTCTGTGTATCAACACGAAGTAATATCAATTGAAACTCTAGTCAAATTCTGTGTGCCTTCAGTGATCATTTGCTTTTGTAGTATCCTTTGTCTTCTTCAAAACACGTATATGTCCATGAGTTTTAGGGTATCGAACAACCAAATCAATCGCGTACATATGTACCAAAGCGCCTATTATCCCGCCCCAAACGCCAATTCTGCCCGCAACCCGCAACCCATGTATGTACGCACATCATATCGTCCCTACCCAGACCAGCGTACAAGAAAATGCAACGACCATAGCCATCATACTCCCCCTCGGATCGCGGCTCGCAACGTCCCCATTCCGGGGCGTCGATGTGGCCGTGAACAAGCCCGTCAGCGTCTGCGTCGCCGACGTCGCGGCCCCCGCCTCGACGCTGCTCGTCGTCGTCCGCGTCGCGAGCGGCCAGTCGCCCTCGCTCGCGTACAGCACGCCATTGATGACGACGCCCTCGCCCCGGCGCAGCATCTCGACCTCGTCGTCGGAGCACGTGCTCGGCACGGCGCGCAGCCAGCACGTCGGTGCCGGCGCCGCGGGCAGCTTGTCCCTGTGCTTGTCGGCTTTGGCGTCGCCCTTTGTGGCGTACGCAGCCAGGTCGACGGCGTCGCCGGTGGAGAGGGACGTGCCCATGACGATGCGCGCAAAGATCTGAAAGGCCGTCTCGGGCTGGAAGGCGGGCACGGCGTGGCCGGCCTGGTAGACGCGGCTGAAGGAGAGGTTGCCGTACTGGCGGACGACGCCGCCAATGTACGAGTCGTTGACGATGATGGGCGCGTAGCCCGCCTCTGTGAACAGCTGGCCGTAGGGCGCCCGGGCCTGCCCGGCCAGCGCGTTGGCCGCCGCCTCGCCGCCGCGCCAGTTGCAGATGTAGTCGCGATCGCCGTAGACGAGGCCGACGCGCACGCCCGAGTCGAGGAGCGCGGCGAGCCGCGGCAGGAGGGGGCCCCTCGCGTTGTCGCCCGTGCGCGAGAAGGCCGAGAGAACCTCGAGGCTGTAGGAGGAAAAGTTGGTTACAGCACCGATCGCCTCTTGAAAGGCGGGCGTGTTGGCGTATTCGATGTAGATGTTGGAGGGGAAGGCCTCGCGCGCTGGCTGGGAAATGTCGTAGAAGCTGCGCCCAGACTCACTGAAGGGCTCAATGACGGACCTGTAACAGGTCGTGTACGCCTGGGAGCAGAGCTCATTGACGCTGTGGACGTTGCCCGAGCTCGCCGGATCGTAGACGCTTTGAGCGGTGCGGCACTGTCGTAAAAGGTCGCGGCAGCCGCCGTTGGCGTTGAAGCTGGCATTGGCAAGGTTGGCGCGGACCGAGTTGATGCCCTCGAACCCATATGTGTTGTTGACTGCGAAGCTCGGATAGTAGGGTGCCTGGATCTCGTCGTCGATGCAGCCATTGACAATGCCCAATGCGGCGAGATGTATCTCGAGGGTCGAGTTCCGCGGTATGGTATTGTTCAGCCTCTTGGCGTTCTGTCGCTCCCATACGTCTGAGAAGACGGGGCCATATTTGCCGCCGTAGCTTTCGGCGAAGAGATTGACACCCAGTGCCGCTTGTTTGGGAGGATTGTACTGAGGGAAGACGGAGAGAAAGCCTTGCAGCATATGCCAGACGGCCATGGCAGCATCTTCGGTGGTATTAGGGGTGTTGGCGGGGTTCAGAGAGCTGAAGGTGCCGTTCAGGAAGAGGTGGGGTGGTAGGTCGTCGATGGGACCCCTTGGCGGGGTTGTCCGGGTATTATTGAGGATATTGAGAGTGCCATTTGTGGGTGTGTCGTAGGAGAAGCCGACCTGGTTGGGCTGGGGTGGGTTAGCAGACATTCTTCACGTGCTGAAGATGTCTCAGTGGCTGGCTCACTTGGTCTATGAAAAGCATGTTGGAAGCACGATCCCAGCCCCATTCACTGGCGAGCGTGTCGTACTGGTCCAGCCCCGCTTCGATGATCTCGCAAGGACCGACTCCGTTGAACATGCCGAAAAGAGAGCTCGACCCAGGCCCGCCGTTGAGCCATATCGTCAGTATGTCGGACTTTTGGCGGGCCTCGACAAACCAGAAGAAGAGATTCGTAGGGTAGTCGCCGGGCACGTTGACCCAGCCGGTATATTGCTTCTGGTGGTCGAATGCGGAGCGACAGGCGCCGTCGGGAGACTTGTAGCTGATGGTGATATCATGGTTGAGAGGTGATCGAACGGTAGTAAGGTTTGCTGTCGTGGGTGCATATTGCGCTGATGTCGTTGAAACAGAGCTGAGGCCTGCAGAGAGGAGCAGCAATTGGAATGTACGCATGATTAATTGCGAATCATCGCGATCTAAGCGCCCGCGCAATTCACCTACTGCGTGAGTAGGTTTGTCGCGATCGAAATGCACCAGAAAAATGCTTGAAAGAGAAGTTGCAGCTTCGAGGTTGTTGTTTTTTTCGGAAAGAGTCTGGAACCTGGAGCCTGGAGCCTGGAGCCTGGTAAGCTCTGCTTGCGTTGACCCCGGGCGTGGTGTGACGTCCAGTCAGCGGTTCGACCACTGGGTGCCACGGCAGAGGTACTTGGTAGTCCGCGCAAGCCACAGTGGGGCCGCTCCAGGGGGACGAGCTCAGCATACGTCAGGCGCTAGACGCCGGTCCTTCAGCGTGCCTGAAGCACCTGTCATGGCACAGATACAAGCCAGTCAGCCTATACCCTCTGAAGCTGCGATTGTCACCTTTGTCTAAAGGACGCTCTTGTGATGAACATTGTATTCTAACGATGGAGAAAACACATCATGGGCATCTTCATTTCAGATTTAGTCGTTCCCCAAGTACCATCGTTGCCCCTGTTGAACCACGACAGCAAGCTCCCTCCAAGGAAAACACACGCGCCAGAAGCTGTAGTCTTGGGTAACCATGGCCGCTAAGCAGCCGAAGCTCTTTGCTCCCGAATTATCCTCCTGCGTGCGTTCGCAGCTTCAACGCTGGCCTTGCGGGGGTTCTCCGCTTCAAAGATCTCATCCAGCTCCTCCAGCGTAGATCCCTTGGTCTCCACGAAGAAGAAGTACATGAACCCGACTTCGAAACTATCCCAGAACGCAAAGAATACGTAGAACCAGTACCCAATCTGCCACCTGCGATCAGCGCTCACGTCACAACAGCGTCTAGGGCAGGGAAACTCACACTGGAGAGCGCAATGGGCCCGACAAAGGTGTTGAGGAAACCGGCGGCTCCCGCTGTGAGCTTGAAGGTACCCATGGCCTTTGCGCGCATCTTGTTGCTGACGACCTCGGCTGGGTAGATGGGTTGCATTGGGGTAAAGCCTACGGCGAAAGTGGCGCCGAACAGGAAGATGAAGACAATTGTGACGGTGGAGGCATCCTGAATGCCGTGATCCTCGTATGCGGCTGCGCACCCGGCGACAATGGCCAATGAGACGGTCATTCCGGCCGCGGTCCCCATGAGCATCTTGCGACGGCCGACAATGTCGTGCAGGCGGGCTCCCGCTGCCGAGAACACCCACCCAACAATCGAGTAGGCAATGTTGAGGATCAGCTTGGTGTTCGTATCTGTGATGCCAATTCCGTTGAGCATGATGGGCAGGTAGTATGATATGATACTTGGAGATGATGATCAGCAATTGCTACGTAGACAGCACAATGAATGGCACTGACTTGTTACCACTGAATTGGCCAAACCAGGAAAAGACAATGTTCAACATGATTCTGTATCGGCTTGCACGAGACTCGAACAGCACCCTGAGGTCAAACAAGTCCCTCCATGACGCCTCGTGGTTCGGGTCAATCGCGCCGATCATCTCCGCCATCTGGAGGTCCACGAGAGGGTGATCAAGGTCACCATTGGCATGATACGTTGCGATGATATTCTTTGCCTCTTCGTGACGATCTTGTGCCACAAGCCTAACATACCACATATTAATCAATGAGAAAGACTCACGCAGGGCTCAGAAGATACGCACCATCGTGGAGACTCAGGGTAGAACTTGATCAGACAGCAGACGAGGCCTGGGCATACCATTTGTAGCCAGAGGGGGATTCTCCAGTCAAGGTCTCCTCGATGTCCGAGGTAGAGATGACAAGCATAGACTGCGGAATTGGCAAGGATCGCACCCTGTGAGTGACAGAAAAGGCATGTCAGCATCGATGACGACCACCGCCTCTTCCCATACGGGTACTTACCACATTATAGAACGTGTTGTACATGCCTGCAATCGTCCCTCGGTAGGCAGCCGGGGCTATCTCCACGAGGTAAAGAGGAGCAGCAGTGTGCGCACAGGTAGCCGAGAAGGAGAGCATGAACCGCCCACCGATCAGCATAGGCAGGCTGGTAGCAAGCGAGGTGATGATGGTGCCGATGCAGACGCCTAGACAGCCGAAGAAAATGTGCCATGTGCGTCCGTACCAATCTGTCATCCAGATGAACAAAGCTCCGCACATTTGTCCGACCTCGAACGGTGATCAGCAGGATATATGAATTTGCACAGCATGATGGCTTACTTGGAAAATGGCAAACACAATGCCCGTGCTAGCGTTTCCTGAGGCCGGTAGTTCGAAGTAATCTGTAAAGTTTGGCAAGGCATTGATGGACCCCATCAGTGAACTGTCGAATCCTACGAATCTAGTAAGTATGCCGAGGATCCATGGGCCGCGGCGTTGAAGACGAAAGCCTTACCGTTCATTGTTGAACACAAAAAGACCATGGCAGCCAAGATGTATAATTTGATATAACCTGGGCCACGAGGATTTGGTTTCTGTGTCGCCATGATCGTTGCGTATCTCTCTGCGAAACTCTCCCCGACATCCGGGTCTTTGTGTGTGACTTTGGCCCCTGACTTATTCATTGTGATTTGACTAGTTTCACTTGATCTCGGGGTAAATATAGCAACAGACGAATCGAGTACAAAGATGAAGATTATTGAAAGGTCAAGATTCGATATGGAGAAGACTGGCGTCGTGAGAGTCTCTTGGAGGCACTGAGTCGATATATAGCTGGCGGACGGCCTCAGTTGCACTGAAGCGATCATCCCACTCCCCACACTCATGGGTCTCATTCTCACCAGCGCAGCGTGGACACGGGGCCCCGGATTTTTGCTCCAGAACTAGACCAGAATTGGATACGGAAATTCAAAAGCTCGTCCATACATCCAACGACGGCCCGCAAGTCGTCTTGCTGACGAGGAGGTCGAAAGATCGGCATCTGAGCCATTGGTCCTTGTGAATTCAGAACACGCACTGGAGATGCCGGGGAAAGCTTAGGGTGTTGAGGCCGCACCAGCGTGGTCCTGATCAAGGTGAAGTGTGTGCATTAACATACCTTCAGCATCTTTCTTTTCATGTAACGAGAACAAGTGACGATTGTGTGACCAAACAGTATGATTTGTTGGTGGTGGCATTCACCTGGTGCCAAGGCCTGTGCGCCCAGTGCCTCTCATCTTGATTGCAGATGTTGATGGTATTCACTTGGTCAGTGGCATTCACCTGGTGCCAGGTGGCCCGTGCCCTGTTGCCTCCCCATAGCTTAGTTCCAGGCACCCTCCTGCCCTGCAGAATAACTTCCCAATAACAACACCTTTTCTCCAGACCCTTGACCTCCACCAACAGCAGACACCCTCCTGCCTTGTAGAATAAGTCACCTAACTACCTAGGTACCTTAGCTATACCTTACGTACAACTTTCTTCCGCACTTGACCCCCTCCAATAGGTAGGTTATGCCCCCTTTTTGCGCATTGCCCTCATCGTTGATGATACAATTTTGATATTGTTATTAAGAGCTTCAATTCTTCTTTTAAACGATACCATTATCGTCTTTTTGACAAAGGTTTGGTGGAAATCTCTACCTGAAACCGGTAGCTCAACTTCTCGGCACATCGCCAAACGCGGCACAACGCTATACCCTGTTACCCTGTAGCCTACAATGGCTACACAGCCATATCTGCAGGTCGACCAACTACTCGGCGAATCGAATTATCGCCACTGGAAGTTCATCGTCACTACCTTCCTCAGATGCAAGCGCTGCGATGAATTTCTCACTACCTCTAACCCCCCCCCCCCTGACGACCCAGTAGATAGGGCGGTATGGAGGGACAAGAAGGCGATGGCAACGAGCACTCTTGTCGACTCAATCCACCCTAGCATGCTCGATCGCCTTGAAGGCGCAGGTTGGGATATCGCCGATCGGGACCCCTTTCACCTGTGGACTGCAATTCCTCAAGTTCTCCAAAAGATGCCTGCAGGTGCTGTCATGGATTTGACGCGCGAATTCGGCACTATTGAGAGTGGTGATTTTCCGACACTGCACGCCTTCCTGGCTCGTGCCCTGACTCTCAAACGCCACCTCTGCGAGCTCGCCGGCGGTGATACACCCATCTTCACTTATTTTCTTCTCAATGGTATTCGCAAGCAATACCCAGCCTTGTGTGAGAAGCACGCGGCGATGGGTGCCGTTGATTGGACCGCTGTTGTGCTTGATATCTGCCACAAGGCCAACGCCCAAGAATTCTCCAACAGCTCCCTTGCCGCAGTGCAGGGCCTTGGCTTCGAGAAGCGGCGAGTGTAATTCATTCACCAGTTGCGCCTTGCTGATGCAAACCGACTCGGCTCTTGTCACTGCGTTGAATCCAGGCTTCTGCTAGAATTGGGAAGGTGGCTTGTTGTGAAGTGCCCGCGGGGGACTCTTACTGTCCTGATCGCTGGCTCGCGTTGGATGGTGCCTGTTTGGGGGGGGGGGATGCATTTCCCATAGGTAGCTTAGGTTGTTCCAGGCACCCTGCTGCCCTGTAGAATAGGGAGCTAGGCACCTACCTCACGCAATACACACGACTTTCTTCCGCACCTTGACCCCTCCAACATTATTGACCGCACTGATGTGCCCTCTTATTCCTAAAACACTTCTCACGACAAACTGTCACAGTTTAGGCCTCAAGTCAGTCTCCACCTGATCCAAGCCACTCGGCCCTTCGAACAGATACTGGCTGAGAGCAGCCGTGTTGACCTTTGATCACCGATTTCAGCGTACGTGGCCACAAACAAAAGCAGGCTTGGGTCGAATGAACTTACGTAATGAGGGCCAAGGTCCTGAATCTTGCTCACACCCAACAGTCTCAGAGCCGTGAGTGTTTCGTCTGCCAGAACTGATCGCAAGTCAGACAACAGCGGAATAGCACAGCGATGCGACTTACTCTCCAGCGTTCTCTCGACACCTTCCTGCCCCCCTAAAACGAGGCCATACAAGGCTGCCCGACCGAGGCCGACTCCTTTCGCCCCCAATGCAAGTGCCTTGACCACGTCTGTGCCCCTCTTGATGCCTCCGTCTACAAGTACATCAATGTTGCTCAATACTTGAGGGCAGAACTTTCTGATTTCCAACAAGACCTGGATGGGAGTTGGTGCAGTATCCAAAGCCCTCCCCCCATGATTCGAAATTATGATGCCTTTGACAGCTGGAAATAATGATGCGGCAAAGGCGTCTTCGTAAGACTGAATGCCTTTGAGCACAATCGGCAGCTTGGTTTGCGTCGACAGCCAAGCCAGAGTTTTCCGCCAGGTCAGCCCGGATTCTGTTCCCCATACCTGTGGTGTACCGCCCTGAGCGACTTCGGCCATCTTGAAGCGCTCGTCTGCTTCACGTTTTCCAGGGAAAGGGGCGTCCAAAGTCAGAACAATGAATTTGATCTCGGGAATGGTTCGGATTTGAGCTAGGGTCCGCTCGGTTGCTTTGATGTCCTTCAAGACGTAGAGCTGCCAACCAAACACCGCATCTTTGCCGGCGCGGACGATGTCTAGGGGTGACATGGAGGCGTTTTTGCTGATAATTTGGAGCGCATTGAACTTGGAACACGCAGAGGCGATTCCTGCTTCACCCGAAGGATGTGCCAATTTGGCCATGGCTGCTGGCGAAACGAAGATTGGCAAACCTACGTTGTTTCCAAGTATGTTTGTTGAAAGCGAGCAATCTGTACAGTCGACGAAGACCCGTGGCCGCAGGATTATGGAGCGGTATATCGAATTGTTGGCAGCTTTTGTGACCTCGTCGTCGGAGCCAGATGCATAATAGGAGATGGCTTTCGGGGTTAGATGCTGCAGCGCCAACCTTTCCATTTCTGAGATGCTGAGGATATTTCTCGTTGGAATTGATGCTGTGGCGGACGGCGAGGACGCAGCTGTGCTTCTGCTTGGTGTCATGGTTGCAGAACCTGCGCCCGAAGACCCCTCTGTTTCGAATGCACCAATAATGCTAATCAGACCTTGATATTCATCAAGAAGTTCTTTCGGGTGAACTTCGTCAAATGGGACAGAGGCGTCAGCTCCAGCATACCGGAGAAGAATTGCCTTTCCCCCAGGATGACTGTCTAAGAGGTTTGTGATCTAGCGATGACGGTCAATAATTGTAAGTCGTAAACAGGATTATACAACACATCATCACGAGAGTCTGATCAGTTCTGTCTTCACGGGCGGGCTTTCACCTACATCGTAGACTGTGCCATGTATGGCTATCCAGCAATCCCCCGCAACGTCGTGATGTCGTACTGCATGGTGTCAGATATGAGACCATATCAAAGAAGGGTTGCAAGCGACGTGCTTTCTGATAGCCGTACAACCTTATCCATTGTACTGTCGCCCGCCATTTCAATATCTTTCTCGAGTTCTGCCGGACCAAGAAAACTAAGGTGATCTTCGTCGAGAACTTGTCGAGTGGTGTTCAAGGGTTTGTGGCAGATGCGAGTGTAAACATCCACCCCCCTCCGTGTCCAGGCTGACAGGGGTGCCACGGCATTATGGATTTCCGTATGCCTTTCAGGGCATGGAGTGACCGGGGCCTCAATTCCCCGAAGTCCCCCACGTTTCCCCATTTCGGTAATACAGCTGTGTACAATGAACGTCACTTGCATTTACTGCGTGCCAGGGGGACTCCGCCGGTCGGAGCCATTTCCATAAAACCGAATGATCCTCTTTGATGGTCTGCGGACATATTTGCTATCAGATTCTTTTTGTTCGCTTTCTTTCTCAGTGACATTCTATGTTTCGCCGCTCTACATCATCACCAAGCATGCTCCGCTCCAGACAGAACTTGCGAAGTGGGTGGTCCTTCAAACAGCACGATGATGACGACCCCGGCGCCTGGCTTCCAGTCGAGACGGTTCCGAGTCAGGTCCACATCGACTTGCTCGCCAACAAAAGGTATGATCTCATGATCTCGCCTCAGCGAATGAAGTGATGTTGATTATTGCCAGAATCCCTGATCCTTTCGTGGACATCAATGAACAATCTGTTCAGTGGGTTGCCGAAAAGTCGTGGCAATACAAGCTTCGCCTCCCGGCACCAGCTATCCACTGCCCAGACAACACCAGTACCGACCTCGTTTTTGAAGGTCTAGACACTTTCGCCACGGTCACTCTGAACGGCTGTGAGATCCTGAAGTCAGAAAATATGCACATTTCCAACCGTGTCAATGTCAACAAAACTTGGAATTCTGATAGCGAGAACGTGCTTGAAATTCTTTTCGACTCAGCTTTGCTCCGTGGTCGTGATATCGTTAAGCAGCACGGAGAGCACCAATTCTTCGCACGGCAAACGGAGGAAGGAAGAATCCCTGTTCGCAAAGCCCAATACAACTGGGGCTGGGATTGGGGTCCAATCTTGATGACGGCAGGACCGTGGCGCCCTGTCTATTTCGAACAATACACGGCAAGGCTTGATGACGTGCGCGCCGTCTACGACTTGGCGGCAGACTTGAAAAGCTGCTCTGGACGACTCATGGCTCGAGTTTCTGGTGCGTCTGAACAGACTGACCACCTGGTATTCCTCCTGTCTCGCAATGACAAGGTGGTGTTCAAGCAGACCTGTGGCGTTGGCGCAGGCGGTTTGGTCGAAGCCGCTTTTCAGATAGAAGATCCCTGTCTCTGGTATCCGGCAGGGTATGGAGCACAGTCACGATATCAACTATCAGCAGAGGTGTGGAGAGGCCAGACAAAACTTGACAGCAGCACCAAGCTCATCGGATTTCGTCGCTGCGAGCTCGTTCAAGAGAAAGACGCCTACGGCAAGTCATTCTACTTTCGGATCAACGGAGTCGACATCTTCGCTGGTGGATCTTGCTGGATTCCCGGCGATAGCTTTCTCTCACAAATGACTGCCAAACGATACCACGATTGGATGAAACTCATGGTTGAAAGTAACCAAATCATGATCAGGGTGTGGGGAGGCGGCATCTATGAAGACAACGCTTTTCTGGACGCCTGCGATGAACTCGGGATCCTGGTCTGGCAGGACTTTGCCTTCGCATGTGGCAACTACCCAGTTTATACTCCCTTTCTCGAAAGCATAGAAGAGGAGGCGCGACAGAACTTGAGACGCTTCAGATCCCACCCTTCTGTGGTCGTTTGGGCCGGAAACAACGAAGACTATCAGGTCCAAGAGAGATACAAGTTGGAGTACTTTGCCGATGACAAGGATCCCGAATCTTGGCTAGAGTCTACTTTCCCAGCCAGGTACATCTACGAGTTTCTGCTGCCGAAGGTGGTTCAAGAGGAAGACCCCTCAGTTTTGTATCATCCTGGCAGTCCCTGGGGAGATGGAAAACACACAACTGACCCAACGGTGGGAGATATCCATCAATGGAACAGTAAGTCTACCTCAAACATACACGTTTTACGACCACTGACAAGATTAAGTATGGCATGGTTTGATGAATAGGTATCAGGAGGCGGAACACTTGACCGGCCGCTTCGTCAGTGAGTTTGGTATGGAAGCGTATCCTCATCTACAAACCACACGAAGAATGGTCACGAGCCCTCGGGAACAGCGACCTGGCTCTCTGACGATGGATTATCGCAACAAGGCCGTTGACCACGAACGCCGCATGATGACATACGTCGCGGAAAACTTCCAGGTCCGCTATGACTTGCCAGCGTTCACTCATCTCACACAGATCACACAAGCCGAAACCATGCGCTACGCGTACAAGGCATGGAGGCGAATGTGGGGACATCCTGGAGCACGAAAATGCGGTGGCGTTCTTGTGTGGCAACTGAACGACTGCTGGCCAACTATGTCCTGGGCTGTGGTGGACTACTACCTGGTCAAAAAGCCAGCATTTTACGCCATCGCGAGAGCGCTGCGGCCTCTGGATGTGGGCATATCAAGGAGCTGCCCAGAATGGACATCGGGACACGCGGCCCCTTCATTACGGAAGGAGTGTGAGTATGACGTCTGGATCGCGAGCAGTCGACTTGACGCAGCTCAGGTCGAGTTGAGGGTCAGATTCATCTCCATCCAGACCGGCAAGGATATTCGCGACGCCATCGCCAGTATTCTCTATGCTCAGCCGAATGGGACGACAGAGGTCCACAAGAAGCAACGCGTGACGGTTGCAACATCTGCAGCAAATACTGCTGATGACCCCTTTGTGATTCATGCCTCGTTAGCTCTTAACGGTGAACTTGTGGCCACGGACACCGCTTGGCCGGAGCCCCTTAAGTATCTCGACCTGAACGACCGGCACGTCGGCCTCGAAATCTACCAGTCGCGCGGCAAGATCTCAATTTCCAGCAGACTTCCAATCAAAGGCCTCGTGCTTGAGGAGACAGAAGGCATGAAATTGAGCGACAATGGCTTCGACCTCGTGCCTGGCGAGAAGCGGGAGATACAGATTGAGGCGGCGCCCACAACGGATCATCTAAGGTGGACTTACCTTGGGGCGCCGGATGAAACAAGCACATATAGGCCTAAGTTGTAGATATTGAAGATACTCCGAGGAACATTCAAGAATGAAGACATTTTGGCGCTGACAAGGTGTGATGGACCTGGAGCTTCCCTACATTTCAGCGTTTGGCATGCTAAAGCCACGCTAATACGGTGCCGTGTTCTACCCCGCAGCCCTGCCATGGCCCACAAGAGTGCCTTATAGCCTGATGTTTTCGCTCCTCCTCGGTCTCATCGACCTCCAACAAACATACACTCCAGTCTTGAAAGGTTAACAATAGCCTCCCATTTGAATATACGATGTTTCACACCTTTGGTAGCACGGAACCACCGGCTTCACATTTGTCGACACAGGTCGCAAGACCGGTCTCCCGCAGAGTCAACAAGTCATGTTCGGAGTGTACACGGAGAAAGGTCAAGTGTGATGGCCGTGTTCCTTGTGCAAGCTGTCAGTACTACAAAACTTCGGAGAGTTGCGTCTACAGGCAACGGACCAAGAGACAAGCTGTCAGCAAGAGGTATGAATTTCCTGACTGTCCATTTCTTGTCACCTCTTGATCATTAACGGGGCATTCAGTACATTGGAACAGGTGACCGAGCAGATGCAGGTACAACAACGCATTCTCAATACATTATTCCCGCATAATTCACCCGAGGACCTGGTTGGAAGATCAAGAACAGAACTTCTTCAGCTCTTGTCGACTGCTTCGCCATCCGATACGTCGGTTTGCGATATCTCGCCTGGACCATTGGGGCCTTCACCTCAATACTTCTTATCAGGCACAGGTGCCACAGACGTGTCTGATGGTTCAACTCAAGCATCCGAGGCTGGCGATACTGATCAAGAGAGAAGATGGGACGAATCAGCTCAGCAGCCTGCAGAAATCGGCGCCAGCGATGACATCAATGCCATCAGTCTGGCTACAGATCAACATCGCCGCTCATATTTAGGTGTCACCTCAATGAGTGCTGTTATGGGGGCTTTATTCCGACTCTGCCCAGCGGCTAAAGCTCGTACAATAGAATTCTCGAAAGAACTATCAAAAGAACAGTATATGCATCATCAGCAAGCTTCAGACCTAATTTCGGGACCCAACTTACCGGCCCTCAACCAGCTTCGAGAACAGCGCTGTGTCGAATTCTATTTTGAACACATACACGCCATCACACCCATATTGAATGAAGAAGAGTTTCGAAGAACATACAAAGAGGCCACCCGGCAAGATGCTTCATGGTTGGGACTTCTCAACATGGTTCTGACGCTTGGGTCCATTGCCTCTGGCAGCAACACATTGCACGTGCAATACTACAAACAAGCGAGGGTCTTCCTCGACCTAGACTCTCTCGGATCTGGAAACATGGAAAGTCTCCAAGCTCTGTGTTTACTGGGAGGCTACTACCTACATTATCGGAACTCCCCAAACATGGCATATGCTGTGCTTGGTGCTGCTCAGCGCGTCGCCATAGCCCTAGGCTTACACCGAGACTCGTCGCGCCGTACTCATGATCAAGGAGCTGACACAAATCAAGAAAATCTTCTTCGAATCGAAACGCGGCGGCGGACATGGTGGAGTCTATTCTGTCTTGACACTTGGGCCAGCATGACTCTTGGTCGCCCAACCTGTGGACGATGGGACAATACGACAATGGACACCCTGCCCCCAAGCCTCCTTTCACCTGATGATCATTGTGCCATCTCTTTAAGATCGAGCTGTCAGTTCTGCCACATTTGCAACCGCATTCAGCATAGATTTGCGCAACTACGAAGGATGTCTGCCATTGAGGCTCTTGCTTTCGACCAAGAGCTTCGAGACTGGTACGAGACACTGCCATCAGTTGTCAAATACACTGCTAATTCGCCGCCACGCGTCACCACCGCACGCGAATTTCTGAGGAATCGGTATCTAAACGTACGACTGGTACTGTCCCGTCCATTTTTGCTGCATCTGGCCCACGGCAACGCTAAACAACGCATATTTGCACCCGAGGAGGAACAGATGATCGACACATGCCGCTCAATTGCGGCCGAAGCCATTGACGCCATTACACTCCACTGGACCCCCAACCACATTCACGTGTGGAACTCTGCGTGGTACCTTTTCCAGGCCTGTATGGTACCACTTCTTTCGATCGCCATGGAGACAGCATGGAGGCCGGGCATGTTCCCCAAAAGGGTGGACCGATGGTCTGCAAGTTTGACAAAGGCTTTGGACATATTCAACGACATGAAGCCGTGGATGAGGGGATCGGATCGAGCCGCCCACATGGTGGCTACCCTCTTTCAGGCTGTCACGGTGACGGTCGAGAATCAGGTTCGCCCATCAACCAGTCCGGAAGGGGCCTGGGAGTTACCAGGCTGGTGCGATGAGCAACTTGCGGATATAGATTGGAACATGTTTCTGAGCGAGGAGAATGCTTTCAATGTATGGCAGACGCAATCATGAGACGAAAAAAGACCTCTCGGGGTTGTGCAAGGATGAAAGCCAGGGTGTAGGTCGG